TTGCAAACATTCATTAAGCTTCCCAAACACTCTTTACTTCTACAAGATTTATTGTTCTGAACAAAACCTCTATTTCTCCTTTAGGAGAAACACTGGGCAGGAAACCCAACTGCAGCATAACACTAGAGAACATCCTACCTGCAGGCTGCAAGACAGGTTTGACGTCGGTAAACCATCTGAAGTACTGCTCATAGACATGTAGAGGTTTAGAAACCAGTGAGATACCACCAGGATGGCAAGAGGAGACCCAAATTGGGTGGTTTGCTGTGTGGACATGACCATTCTGCTCAAGTCGGGGCTCTGGGGGCAGCACAGACATGGGACATCTGCCCCACGTGGGTTGGGAGCCAGAAGCCACCCCTCTGAGCCAGACAACAGCAGGGCTTGGCTGTTGGTTGGTTGGTGAACCACCAACCACCAGGGAACAGATTTAGACTGGAGATGAGGAGAGGGTTCTTCACTGTGAGGGTGGTGGAGCACTGGAACAGGTTGCCCAGGGAGGTGGTTGAGGCCCCATCCCTGGAGATATTCAAGGAGAGGCTCGACGAGGCCCTGGGCAACCTGGTCTAGTTGGGGGTGTCCCTGCTGACTGCGGGGGGGTCGGACTAGATGACCTTTGGAGGTCCCTTCCGGCCTGGGCAATTCTATGATTTTATTTTCAGTTTTGTACTCTTAACTACGGAGCAGCACGTCTCCTCCTGCTCAGGAAACAACTTCTTCCAAATTAAGTCCTAACTTAAGGCTGTCTTTATTCTCTATCCTTGGCAACAACCGGAAAAACGAGGTGAATTCGATCACTACATGAATCCTGCTACAGGAAACAACTCCCAAAGAACAAATGTCTTCCCCAACACAACAGGAAAAACTGAGACTGCACAGGGACAGAAAAGACATCAGAAGTGGGACGGGCTTTCCTGTTTGGTCTTCCTCAATCTCAAGAGTTTTCAGCATTCGGAGCTGCCGCAAAACAACGCTGTAGAAATTAGGGATGACCCAAAATTACCAGTTATATCAAGGCTGCAATGAACAACAGGGATGAAACCTATGCTGTTACACTGACATTTATGCAATTAACTTTCAGACCAGAGCTTCTGCTCCCATAAAATACCATTTCTCACTCGATTTCAGTACTGCTATAATACATTAAACTTTGTCAAGGATCTGGCCCCAAATACTCTCCCTGAAAGGAGACTTTTTCTCCTGGGAAGTTGAGTGAAAAGTCCAGAGGAAAGTAAATTATTTAGTCTTTTGCAACAGAGAGCTACTGAGCTTGGGTAAATATCAAAAATTATCCCTTCATTAATAAAATAATTTATATTTATAAAAGGCCTTCCAGCTTCGCATCTCAAAGCATTTTAGAGACAAATCACACTATGTAGATTTTGCAGACCTAAACAATATTTCTTTTGGAAAGACATAACCTTACTTGCTATTATCAAGTAAAATATTACAATACTTGAAGAAGCTCCTCTGGTTTTGTTTCTTTACAGCAGAAGAACGTAGGCAAAGTTTTGCTACTTTTCATACGCTGTCTCCTTTTATGGACCTCTCACACAGCAACAAGCCAGAAATAAAGAGCCCGCTAAAATAAACAGGGAAATGCAAGTGTAAAACCACAAGGATTGGCAGAAGATTCTACACATAAATGTTTTGGAAATAAAGCTATCAAGAAAAGAAAACTTTGCTACATTTCAAACCAATAGCCTACTGTTAAGATTTGTAATATTTTTTTTCAGAAGCTGAGTACAGCTATAAGAAAGATACATTTAACACACCCAAGGCTGAATTTGCTTGCAGTGTTATTTTATGAGTACAAAATAACAAATTTTGAAAATGTTTCACCTGTTGCTTAGCAAGTTCATCCTCACCTGAGCTACTGTTTAAAAACAACATACAGAAAAAAAGGATGCTTAGCAAGTTCATCCTCACCTGAGCTACAACATACAGAAAAAAAGGGATTTAAAATCCTTTCCACGCCATTTGCTTTTTGTACTTGGCGAACCCTAAGAAACGTGAGTATTATTAACACAACACTTCCCTTGCAATCAGTTCTACTTCCAGGTTTTCATGGTCTGGCTCAACATGACACTTGAGGCTCTGCAAAGACTATCTACATCCAAACCAAGTTTAATTAAATTCTGGAGGTTCAGTTATCAATCTGTTCTGTTGAATAATTTTCATTTCATAAAGTCGATAGCCTCAATGTTGTAACTAAACACTGGACCTAAACTACCCAAGGTATCAGTGCCCCCAAGCCAAAGATCATTAGACAAACATGATTTTGTATTTGGAGAAGGCAGTGACATGAGCTCACTCTCGTTTTACATGATAAATCAAATAACAAGTCCAGATTTCTTCACTGTGAGGGTGGTGGAGCACTGGAACAGGTTGCCCAGGGAGGTGGTTGAGGCCCCTTCCCTGGAGATATTCAAGGAGAGGCTCGACGAGGCCCTGGGCAACCTGGTCTAGTTGGGGGTGTCCCTGCTGACTGCGGGGAGGTCGGACTAGATGACCTTTGGAGGTCCCTTCTGGCCTGGACAATTCTATGATTCTATGATTTACTAAAATAGAGATACAAAAGGAGGCCCTTAAAATACTCCTGGAAGTTATACAAAACAAAACATTAAGGAAGAGAAAAGGAAGATTACTGCAGGAAATACTGTAGCAATCAATGCACGTGTATTATTCATTCGTCCACTGTTTACAAATTACTGTATTAGAATTATAGAATAGAGTTGGGAGGGACCTTAAAGATCATCCAGTTCCAACCCCCCCCTGCCATGAGGGGGGACACCTCCCACTAGACCAGGTTGCTCAAAGCCACATCCAGCCTGGCCTTGATTTTCTATAAATTCAGGTTATCTAGCTGGAGCTTACCATGTTTGCCTCTCCAACTTATTCAAACTTGAGGCTGATAAAAAAACCACCAAGCACAAGGCACTTTAAATCCACACTATTTATCCCTGTCCCAAACCCAAGGTGTAAGCACCCAGTAAAAACTACAGATCCAGGAGAAAAACCTTATTTTTTTCAGGTTTTCACAACTACTTATCTATTTCTTATGCAAACAATTACTGTGAACTCATGAAGAATTGCACCCATGATTGTGCGTAGGCCTGGCTATAAAATTTGTAGGACCATCACCCATTTTAACAGTCATGTATTTGGGTATTAGCTTCCCATCCCTTTCCCTTTCAACATATGTTATATATAAAACAAAAAGTTACTAAAGCACATGATTACCACTGTCATACCTCATGTTTATGTGGTCATAGCAACATATATTTCTCCATCTGCACATATATACACATATAACGCCAACTTAAAAAAAGTCTGGTTTTGTAACAGTTTTTCATATAAAACTAATGAACCACAAATACTTGAAACTGAGAAGTGAGGTGCCACAGTCTGTGTTAAGCTTCACCTTTCATTCATTGTTCAGTGTGATTCTTTGTTACCTATTACCATAGAATTCAGAGATGGCAGTAACAGCCCCAGAAAGGCTAAACAGCTCTGTCAAGCAGGTGCTTTTCCCAAAATCACCATTTACTTCAAGTTTCGCAAGATCTGAAAGATCGGTTTTCAGAGTAATGAAAAAGAATGGAGTTTTATCCTAAACATTATCATTCATAGAGGGCTTAAAAATCAGATCACAACATGTCCTAGATACAGAACCACTGCTACAGTAACTTCTCCAAAGTAACAGAATTTATAGAGTTCCTGGGAAAGACACTGAAGTAGGAACCAAAGTTTGAAAGATCATTATCATAGAATTGCCCAGGCCGGAAGGGACCTCCAAAGGTCATCTAGTCCGACCCCCCCGCAGTCAGCAGGGACACCCCCAACTAGACCAGGCTGCCCAGGGCCTCGTCGAGCCTCTCCTTGAATATCTCCAGGGAAGGGGCCTCAACCACCTCCCTGGGCAACCTGTTCCAGTGCTCCACCACCCTCACAGTGAAGAACCCTCTCCTCATCTCCAATCTAAATCTGTTCCCCTCCAGCTTGAAGCCATTTTCCCTCGTCCTGTCACTGCATGCCTTTCTAAACAAGTGCTCCTCATCTTCCTGTAGGCTCCCTTCAGGTACTGGAAGGCTGCTATTAGGTCTCCCTGGAGCCTCCTCTTCAGGCTGAACAACCCCAGCTCCCTCAGCCTGTCCTCGTAGCAGAGGGGCTCCATCCCCCTGATCATCCTCGTGGCCCTCCTCTAGACCCTCTCCAGAGGGTTGTGAATTATGATTCACAACATCAGAGCTGTATGGCTGCTTGTTGCCCACACCCCCTTCAGTGGGTGTGCATAAGGCCAATATTTAAAAGCTTCAATGCAGGAAACCAGCTGCCAACCCACTGGTTACTGGTTGAAGACGACTCTGTGCTGAGGGAAACCAGTAACATTAATTCAGGTCCTCAACTGGCTTCAAGAATAATCCTCAAGCAAACAAGAGGAGATTGTAGGAATAAGGTCAGGCAAAAATCAAATAGTCTAAACATGAGAAGACGCAACTGCTTTCTCTTCATCCCCCACAAGACAGCTGGAAGTAGCACCATCCCATTATCACTCCCTAAAACAGGATGGAGGTGGCACACGGGACTTCCTAGCCCTACAGCTTTTCCAACCAGCCATGTTTCACTCAGTGCTGCTGTGTCTTTTGAGGAGGGGGGTTAACCATGGACTCTACAGCAAAAAGATGGCACCTTGACCCTCCCTGTGTGGCATTAATTAGTCATAACTGCAAGGTCCACTCCTCTGACCCCAAGACACAGCAAAGCAAGGAGAACAGAAGGGCAGAGCAGAAGGACAGCAGGACAACCCTCAGAAGACCTGCTTTAGCTCTGAGGCCTCTCCACCACCGTCCAGGCCCTGGAAAGACCCGAAACTCTGGAGACCCGGCGCGGGGAGGCCCCCACAGGCCTCTGGGTCACCCCCAGGGGCCCGCACAGCGCCCAGGAGCGGCCCCGCGGGCGGGACGGGAGGCTGCGGAGCGGGGCCACCTCAACCCTACCTGATCACAGAGATGAGGAGCCCCGAGGGGTCCTTGCTCTTGCTCATGGTGCTCCTGTAACGACCCGCCGCCTCGCCCGCCGCCATCTTGCACCCCCCTCTCAAACACAGGGCAGCCACCCCTGCTGGCACGGCGCAGCCAATCAGAAGAGAGGAAGCGCAAGGCAGGGGCATTGTTACCCAATCAAAGGCGGAGGTGGGCGGGGCGCGCGGCATCAAGCTGCTGTGCAGCGCGGAGCGGCGCCGCGGGGGTCTTCTGGGAGTTGTAGGCTTAGTGGCGGGTCTGGCCTGTCAGCGTCCTGAGCCGTCGGTGGTACCACCCCCACACCACTCTTTAAAAGGCAATGGAAAGAGATTAACGGATAAACAAATTTCGGCCAGATGGGATATGCCTGCAAAGATAGATCTGCAACCGGCATAATTTGCTCTGGAAGCTGCAGGAAGCAGGGTGGAAGCCTGAGGGAGCGAAGGTGCCCACCCAGAGCCTGCCTCACGACACCTGGTGTGTTCCTGGGCCTTCAATGGACTGAACGGTGAGGGGTTTAAATGTTTTAGGGTTTAAAATTAACACAGTTCTGTAGTAACTTAGATTAATGTGTCCTATGAGCTAACTTAGTGCTAAATACTAGCTGTGTGCCACAGCCTGGAGCGGATTCTGATGGCAGGTATGGCTACAAGGGGTTGCTGAAGCGTCACTTAATGTTTTTAAATTATGAAGTTTTTAAAAATAGTTTTTCCTAGGTTTCCCTGGGAAGGTGGTGAGGCAACTTGAGCTTTCAGTGACATGGTTTAGTGATGTTTTTTTATCAGAGTTAGGTTGATGGTTGGACTAGGTGATCTGAAAAGTCCCTTCCAACCCAGTCAATTCTATGAAACAACCCAGGGGATCTTTGAAGTCAGTTCTGAACATAAACCTGAGCTAGTCAGCATTTTGCACCTGAATCGTGTTAATTGCACAGCTGAAGGTGATAAATAGGTGTCAACTGGCTGGGAGGTATAAGATCTCTGACACCTGGTGCTTAACGAAGGGCAACCTACTCGCCCACAGTCTTTGCTTTAGTGTCCATGTGCTCCACCTCCTGCCATAGGATCATCTCCTTTAGAAGAGAAAAGGTCTATATCACTGTGCACAATGTTAGAAAATAAAAGGTGGTTTTTCACCAGGTTGCTGGGCAGTGTTAAAAAGTGATCTTACATCCACAGCCTCACTTTCCTTATTTGCAGATGAGGGGTAAAGATGAAAGATAAGTATGGCCAGCAGGGCAAGGGGGTAGATTCTGCCCCTCTGCGCTGCTCTAGGGAACCCAACCTCCCCAGTGCTGTCTCCAGCTCTGGGGCCTCAGCACAGGAGGAGACATGGACCTGTCTCCTGGGGCCAGAGGAGGCCATGGAGATGCTGGGACGGCTGGAGCCCCTCTGCTTTGAGGACAGGCTGAGAGAGTTGGGGGGGTTCAACCTGGAAAAGGTTTTGGGGAGACCTTAGAGCCCTTTCCAGTCCCTAAAGGGACTCCAGGAAAGCTGGGGAAGAACTCTTGATCAGGGAGGGGAGCCATAGGATGAGGGGAAATGCCTTCAAACTGAAAGTGGGGAGATTGAGATGAGATATTGGGAAGAAATTCTTTGCTGTGAGGGTGGTGAGAGCCTGGCCCAGGTTGCCCAGAGAAGCTGTGGCTGCCCCATCCCTGGAGGGGTTCAAGGCCAGGTTGGACGGGGCTTTGAGCAACCTGGTCTGGTGGGAGGTGTCCCTGCCCAGGGCAGGGGGGCTGGAACTGGATGATCTTTAAGGTCCCTTCAAACCCAAACCATTCTATGATTCCACAATACCTCTCTGGCCAAGTCCTTTGAGACCTTCTGTTAGAAGCACCACACAAGACCCAGGCTTGTTGTTTCAGAGGCAGGAGTTCCTCAGCAAGTGGCACAAACAGTCAGATACTAAGAGCTGCTGGGTGTTTTCTAAATCAGGCTCACTCTGTCATGTCAAAGACACTACTGCTGGCTGTTATTCTGGAGCTGTTTTTTCAGCCCAAAGGTTCACATTAACGATTTTAATTGCATGAAAATTGCTGAAATCTGTAGGTAAGTTAACAGTATCCATTTATATGAACTGTGTTTGAAAAATAAGGTATTTGGGAGCGTGGTATTCCTCTAGGCTTATTTACAACGGGAAGATTTCCTCAGTAGCTGTTGTGGAAGAATATCTATTTATTATCAACGGCTGTATCTATTATCATTAGCAGAGTGGCAGAATAAGAGCATGGGCACTTTAATTCTGAAATAAAAGACACTTTATTCCTGAATAACCAATGTGTTTTCAGAATAGAATAATTACTCCAAAGCAAAGTGATTTTTATCTCCAGATAGAGTGTGTGCTTGAAGTGTGTTCCTGTATAGCTGTTCTGCTCCATTTCCCCTCTGCAGACAGGCTCTCAGCGCTACAATTTGCTATTCAGCCGCGCCAAAAAAGCTCATCTTCGTTGATTTTCTGGGCAGGTTTACTAATGCCTTTGCTCAAGGATGGTGATTTGAATGGCAGGAGTTTTATGCACTGGCTGGAGGGAGTTTTTTTCTTAAACTGCCAACTTGCCAATATTGTTTTTTTGTTAATTGGCAATTCATATCGACTGCTCTGTACCAGCACGTCCTGGAGATTGCAGTGGGGATGAAATCAATGTGTCCTACCTTTTCATTCCTGACAGCTACAATAATCACCTCATTTAGGAGGAACTTCATCAGGACAAACAACAGCAAATCTCCCCCAGAACTGTAACCTTGCTGACTTTCAATCCTGGGCTCTAATTGCTAAACCACTGCCTCGTTCCATTTACAAGCCCTTTCCCTTCACTCCCAACCCAAGCAGAGCGATAGGTGGGAATTTATGTTGTGTTTAAACAAAAGAAAAAAATGTCAACATAGCACAGGCTGATGCAGCACATGAACACTGAGGTCTTTCTTCATTAATAATATATGATACAATGAGGATGAAAGGTTACCAGAACAGCATTTTCTCCTTACACAGCTTGCAAGAAACGATCTCAACCTGAAAACGGATGGATTGCAAATCAGGGGACAGAAATCTGATTTTCCTTTTCATGTTTCTTTCACGTACTGTTTTAGTATTGTGAGGTATATCTGGTAAAGGGGGTGGTTCCTTGACTACTCGAACCAAATGATGTCCAAACTGACCAAAAAATTTTTCTTGATGATGAATTAATCACTGTCACAACTTCTCTGTAAATTCTAGAGAGGTTCAATAAATAATCACCCCCAAACCAGAAGGGACTGGGAAGCACAGATGGTTTCACTCTTCCTCCCCATCCTCCCTTCATAAGGAAAGGAAAGGGCTCAGCGTGGAGGTGAGCAAATACTCTGCTGGTCCTCATCCTCTGGGCCAGTTGCCCAGGGGACCAGCACAGTGGCAGAACTACACCAAAAAAAAGCCTAAAAGGGTGTGGGCAGAGCAGATTTTTTGCAAATCTTCCAACCTCAATGATTCTATGGTTCTATGTCCAAACTGACCAAAAATTTTTTCTTGATGATGAATTAATCACTGTCACAACTTCTCTGTAAATTCTAGAGGGGTTCAGTAAATGATCACCCCCAAACCAGCAGGGACTGGGAAGCACAGATGGTTTCACTCCTCCTCCCCATCCTCCATTCATAAGGAAAGGGCTCCGCGTGGAGGTGAGCAAATACTCTGCTGTTCCTCATCCACTGGGCCAGTTGCCCAGAGAGGGGAGACCTCATCACCCTCTACAACTACTTGAAAGGACACTGTAGAGAGGTTGGTGCTGGTCTCTTCTCACAGGTAATTAACAATAGAACGAGAGGGAACGGCTTCAAGCTCCAACAGGGTGGGTTTAGACTGAACATTAGGAAAGAATTTTTCACTGAAAGAGTGGTCGGGCATTGGAACAGGCTGCCCAGGGTGGTGGAGTCACCATCCCTGGATGTGTTTAAGGGACGTTTAGATGGGGTACTGAGGGATATGGTGTAGGGGAGGACTTTGTAGAGTAGGGTAGATGGTTGGACTCGATGATCCCAAGGGTCTCTTCCAACCTCAATGATTCTATGGTTCTATGTCCAAACTGACCAAAAATTTTTTCTTGATGATGAATTAATCACTGTCACAACTTCTCTGTAAATTCTAGAGGGGTTCAGTAAATGATCACCCCCAAACCAGCAGGGACTGGGAAGCACAGATGGTTTCACTCCTCCTCCCCATCCTCCATTCATAAGGAAAGGGCTCCGCGTGGAGGTGAGCAAATACTCTGCTGTTCCTCATCCACTGGGCCAGTTGCCCAGAGGACCAGCACAGTGGCAGAACTACACCAAAAAAAAGCCTAAAAGGGTGTGGGCAGAGCAGATTTTTTGCAAATAATGGCTCCCTCCCTTTAACAAGCCTTTACAGACTCCACTGACAAAAGATCTCCTTTCCCCATATGACTTGAGTGATATTAGGGGATTGCTTTCCCCCTTTTCTGAGATAATTTTACCTGTAATCCCCATCCACAATTTATCCACTGGTATTTTCTAAGCATTACTTGTGAATTCCTAAATCCAACAGACTTACCAGCGCTCAAGTGCTGTTGTACACGCAGGTCTCTCACCCACAGGTTTAACATTTGAAAAAAAATACCATGTTTTACTTCTTTATTTCATTTCAAACATTAGTAGAAATGTCAGGGAAAAGGGTTCAGCTCGCACCGATATCTTACAGGTGTAATTGCCTCGTGTGTAATGCGTTTGTAGGAGTTATAATGAAATTACCTTTGACTTACATCAGTGTAAATGGGAGCAGAGAGAAGGCCAGAGTTTCCATCTAAGACTGGAGGAGCAATTTGGCTTGTATCAAGCGAGCATAATTCAGTTGGCATATATCAGTCAGTTTAATAAAATATATTACTTCTTCTTACAGAGCTTGTCACCCTGACATCAGCTGCGTTACACCCAAATTGGTCCCTGCTCAAAGAATCAGGTCCACTTCTTGCAATAGACTTAATTCTGGTTTTCTTAACGAAGCTTTCCCAGGCTTTACTGATCTGCCTGAATAAGAACTGAATAAAAGTGCAGGGAAATGCACAGGGAACCCCCCTCTACTCGGCACTGGTGAG